GGGTCTCTCCAATGGTCCCAGTTACCAAAGACTCAGGGGAAATTCGACTTTGCATCGATATGCGTCAAGCAAACAGAGCAGTTTTACGGGAAACTCATCCCCTTCCATTGGTGGATGAATTGTTAAGTTCGGTGAATGGAGCAGTGCGTTTTTCGAAGATTGATATCAAGGATGCTTATCATCAAGTGGAAATTTCTGAAAAATCCAAGGTCATCACTACCTTCATCACTAAACACGGACTATTCAGGTAGATTGAATTGAAGCAAATCGTTGATGAGAGTTAATAAAGTTGTTGTTTTTTTATTCTGCAATAATCTAACGTTGGGTATTTTTTTTTTCTTGTCGTTTCTTATTTTGCTAAAATAAACATACGTATGTTAAACAGATACAAAAGACTAATGTTTGGTGTTAGCTGTGCGCCGGAGGTGTTTCAGAAGGTGATGGAATCAGTTGTTGCCGGGCTCGATGGGGTTATTGTCTATCTCGATGATGTTGTTGTGCATGGCAAAACCCAAAAGGAACATGATGGAAGGTTGAACGCTGTTTTGCAAAGGTTGTCGGAATATGGAGTGTTGTTGAATGACAAGAAATGTGTGTATAATGTCAGGTCACTTGAATTTCTCGGTCACAAACTATCTGTTGATGGTGTTCGTCCAACGGAAAGCAGAATAGATGCAATCCAAAGATTTCGAGAGCCACAAAACGTGACCGAGTTGAGAAGTTTTCTCGGACTGGTGTGCTACGTTGGTCGATTTATTCCGGATCTGGCTACTAAAACTGATTCTTTGAGAAAGCTGCTCCGTTCTGGTGTTCAATTTGAATGGACAGATCAGGAACGCAAAGATTTTCAAGCAATCAAAGCCGTTATCGGTAACATTGATTACCTAGGATTCTTCAACCCCCGCAATCGTACTAAACTCATTGCGGATGCTAGCCCAACAGGCCTTGGAGCAGTTTTACTCCAAGAAGACTCCTATGGTCAAATCAGAGTAATAGCCTATGCAATTAAGGCTCTGACGGATATCGAGAAGAAACTAAGGAAGATGACACTATCCAAGCAGTTTTGAAAGCTCTCGAGACAGAATCAAGAGAGGTATTACCAAAAGAATATAAACCGTACGAGACCGAATTATGTGACGTAGATGGCATACTACTCAGAGGAAACCGGTTAGTTGTTCCAACGATATTACGAGACCGCGTAATAGATCTGGCCCATGAAGCACACCCAGGTATTGCAGCGATGAAACGTCGTCTTCGGCAAAAAGTATGGTGGCCATTAATGGATAAAGCCGTGGAAGTCTGTGTTAAACGATGTAAACAGTGTACGCTTGTCTCATCGCTAGGAGTTCCCGAACCGGTTCAAAGGACAAAAATGCCAGTGAAGCCATGGATAAACATAGCTGTGGATTTCATGGGTCCTTTGCCGTCTGGTCACAATCTACTTGTTATAGTCGACTACTTCAGTAGATTCACCGAAGCTGTGGTAATGAAACAAATCACAGCCAAGCGTACTATCCAGGCACTACATGAATCTTTCTGTAGATTTGGCATTCCAGAATCAATAAAGGCCGATAATGGCCCACAATTCATTAGCGAAGAGTTAGCAACATATTGCAGAGAGTACGGCATCCAGCTTCGGAGAACAACTCCGTACTGGCCACAGGCCAACGGTGAAGTTGAGCGCGCGAATAAGACGATTCTCAAACGCTTAAAAATTAGCCAGGAATCAGGTAGTCTAGACTGGGTCTGGGATTTACGTTCGTTTCTGCTGATGTACAACTCTACACCACAACTGGAGTAGCTCCTTCTGTGCTGATGTTTGGACGTGTTCTACGAGACAAACTTCCAAGCATGGAAAACAGGAGAGTTCGAATGGATGAGGAGGAGATTCACGATAGAGATTGGACGAAAAAGCTCAATGATGCAGAATACACCAACGCTCGTCGCCGCGCAAGATTTACGGTTTTGAAAGAGGGAGACATAGTTGTCGCTAAACGTACAAATAAAACAAATAAGCTATCAACAACATTTGCTCCTGAAGAATTTCAGATAATCAAGCTGTCTGGGCCAGATGCAAAACTACGATCGACTGACTCAGATCGTGTAATACATAGAAATACAGCCCACCTGAAGTCTTTGATGAAGAATACATCTTCTGGAGAAGACAGCATCAAAGGAACAGAAGCCGAAGAGGGTAACACGTCGCAGCAAGCAAAACACGGGGACATTCTAGATTCATCTCAATGAGAGAAACCAGATTACCGCCCAACGCGTTCGCTTCGTGTACCGGGATATTTGAGGGACTATCAGACATAAGAAGTTTATGACCATTGTGTAAAGGAGGGATGTCGGGTCGAGCCTAACTCCGGCCCTGTTGTATTATATAATAAAGAACAGCAGAAACATGGCAACCCTGATAAAGTTATGTGAGGTACGTGGGATTTCCGGATAGGGGGAGAAGAGAGCGAACGTTGAGAGTACGAGGTTGTGTTAGAGGGTTCGAGAAAATAAAAAGTGATAAATCAGAAGTAACAACGCATGTTTAATAGGTTGAATACATCCGAAACTCTACAATATTGTATCTGCTTTTTGCAATTACATCATTATTTCATACATCAGCTTGAATTACATTGATCGATATTACATTTTTTTTGCTGTGTACAATAGATCAATTTATTGGTCGCAGTAGTGTTAGGTCCCGAAAGTGAAAAAAAAAAAAATATGTGTGGTTACACATGGTTTTTATGTATACACATATTAAGTATGTGTCCGACACATAGATATCATTTGTTGATTGGCAAATCAAAGTTGGCACTCGTGGAGAATAGAAGAACTATGAGTGTGATGATGGTTTCAAAATTTTACACGGTGAGGTATACGAGTGCAATCTTAAAATAACAAACGAAGTTACAGACGACTAACTGGTGAAGAAATCAATTAAAATAATGTGGTTTGCTGTAGTACAATTTTCTTATAAGCTTGTGCCATCAGTCACCAGATGGGCTAGTTTTTTTTTTGTTTTGATTTGAACAAAGAGGATTTTGTGTTCAATGATCTTTGAGAGTGTGCAAAGAGTATACCATTTTGTCATTTTTAATGCATTTTAGCTTTGAGTAGAGTGAAAGAGATAGAACCAAAACATTCTAGTACATTTAGTGTTGCCATGTGGTTCAATCCAGTATTAGCATAGAGGTAACTCTAAGACCACTGGGTCCCGAAGAAAATCATTATTATTTTTGGCTCACTCAGTACCAGAACAACGGTCCCAAGCAGTCCCAAGCTATTTCACTCACCCCTGCAGGTTCTGCATGAATCCACACACCCCTGATGTTATCTGTCAAACTTTCATAGCGAATCAAAACAAACATAGTGTAGTAATAGAATTTCAACTAGAATAGGATACGTTAATCGTTTGCTTGGGACCAATAGGCTACTAAAGTGGTGAGCCAATTTAAAATCGTTAGTTTCGTATTGATTGTTGGTATCAGTATTGCCATGTGGTACACTGAAAAATTGCAATAGCAGGTTAGTCACCAAAATTTTCGAGCCGCTCCGTCTGTCACTTCGTTTGTGCTTAAAATGCTTTTATTTTGCAATGGAAGCATTTTATTTTAATCTGGTTAATGCTACTAACTTAAGGACTACTCAATAGACATTATATTATAATATAGCAAAAGTAATTTATTTTCTGATTTTTAGTTTTTTTTCTTTATTATAGAAATTTTTAGCCATATGGCTAGTTCATCTCTTAGATTTTAAGGTGTATACATAGATTTTCAGGTTTTCTACCACTGTAGCAGCAACCAGAATTATATAAAATGCTCCATTTGCAAAATAAAAGCATCTTAAGATTGCATTCGTATACCTCCCCGTGGAAATTTTTGAAACCATCATCACTTTCATAGTTCTTCTATTCTCCACGAGTGTCATACTTTGATTTGCCAATCACATTGCAAAAAATCATGTGTGGGACACATAAAAATAATCATTGAATTTTTATTATTTAGTGTAGTAAAAATAACCATAACGACGTGTTCGGGGTATCATCCAAACCATTTGTGGGGTATTTTACCCATCCAGGATACAGCTCGTTTAGGCCGTTCGCAATGCTGTTGTATTTTATAAGGATTGTTTCAATTTGAAACTAGAACAGAAACGCACCTCTCGCAATGCTGAGTTGCAGTTTCATTATTCGAGCACTATTTTGCACCAGATTTGCAACTGCTCGACTATTCTGTTTTATTTCTGAGCGAGTTTGAAACACGAATGGAACTCTGTTTCTAATTTCTTTGTATGTATTTAAAGATGTTTCGAAGAGCTTCACAAACAACTCTATGAACTTCATAAAGAACAGTAAAGTTTATGGAACTTGATGATTACAAACATCTTTTAGAACTGTGCGTTGCGCTACAGTGTTGCAGTTTTAATTTTGGTTATTTAAAATTATAGAATTGTCGAGTCGTTTAAAACAATTTTGAAACTCAGCATTGCGAACGGCCTTATGCCTGGCCTTATGGTATATGTTTATTAGGGTTATCAGTGATATAGAAATTCTGAATTATATGTCGGTTATCGGTTTATCGGTATTTCTGGCAACGCTGCTGTTCACTCGTCAAAATACAAAACTACCCAAATTTGGGCAGAATCCACTCAGATCGGTAAAAACTGAACCTATCCAAAAATGGGTAAACTATGTTGGGAGTGACAAGTTGACAAATGAACAACGTTGATCGGATTCATGCCAATGTTGTTCATTTGTCAACTTACCACTCCCAACACAGTTTTCCCATTTTTGGGTAGGTTCAGTTTTGACCGATCAGGGTGGTTTTTACCCAAATTTGGGTAGTTTTGAAATAGCGTGTATCCTGTCTCTTCTGCTCGGTAAAATTTTCATCAAATTGTTTTTGTTTTGAATTTTCACTTGATTTTATTTGCGATTGTCATCAATGACAGCAAAGGCAGGCCTCTCAAATCATTTTGTAAACGTTCGTATGGTTTGCAGACACTGCTTCTTGAGGTAAATTTTAAATTTAAATTAGAAACGTAATTATGTCGCTCGCCGATGAACTTCTGGCCGACCTGGAGGATGATAACGATGAAACCGAGGAACTGCTGGAAACCGTTAAGCAGGAAGCGCCTGACGAGGTCATAGAAGATCTCGCTTTATCCGGCGGTGAAGAGGAAGCGATTATTATGGATGTGAAGGATGAACCGATGGAGGTGGACGTAAAGGTTGCATCGATCCGAGAGATCTGCAAACTACGTGATTCCGCACGACTGTCTAATGTGCTGTCGCAAATAGCAATGTTTGTCAAGAATCCCCGCAAAACATCCGAAATGATTGGAAATGTAGAATCCGATCCCGAGTATCAGCTGATCGTGGAAGCAAACAACATTGCAGTGGATGTCGATAGCGAAATTTGTAAGTAATGCAGAATAATATAACAGTAGCAAAATAAGATGTCATTAAAAATGTTCTTCATAGCAATAATTTACAAATTTGTGAAGGATAAATATCAGAAGCGCTTCCCAGAATTGGACTCGCTAATCATGGTGGAAATGGATTACGTACGTAGCGTTAAAGAGTTGGGCAATGATCTGGATCAAGCAAAGAATAATGAACGACTGCAGGAGATATTGACTCAGGCAACCATTATGATCGTTTCGGTAACTGCTTCGACTACCCAGGGGTAATGTTTTATTTGTGTTCCAAAGTAGCAGTAATTTCTCTAGCTTTTAAACGTTTTGCAGAACACGTCTTGAACAGCACGAGCTGCAGCAAATTTACGAAGCCTGTGATATGGCAATAGAGCTGAACGATTTCAAAACAAAAATCTTCGAATATGTTGAAAGCAGAATGACATTCATTGCGCCTAATTTGTCCATGATAGTAGGAGCATCTACTGCTGCTAAGCTGGTAGGACTTGCTGGAGGTCTGACCAGGTTATCGAAAATGCCAGCGTGTAATGTTCTTGTCTTGGGAGCTCAGAAAAAAACTTTATCAGGGTAAGAACCTTGGGTCATTATCATTATTACAGAAACAAATATTAATAACCTCGTTCTAATGTTATTAGCTTCTCCAAGGTGGCAATGTTGCCTCACACTGGATATGTTTATTACTCGGATATCGTCCAGGAAACACCACCCGATATGCGTAGAAAAGCAGCCCGTCTGGTGGCTTCGAAAAGCACTTTGGCCGCTCGTGTGGACGCTTGCCACGAAAGTCATCTGGGGGAGATTGGTCAAAGATTTCGTGAAGATATAGAAAAAAAGCTGGACAAACTGCAAGAACCTCCACCGGTTAAATTTATCAAGCCTCTGCCCAAACCAATCGAAGGCGGTAAGAAGAAGCGTGGCGGAAAACGTGTGCGTAAGATGAAGGAGCGTTACGCCATCACCGAGTTCCGAAAGCAAGCCAATCGAATGAACTTCGGCGATGTAAGTTAACCGGTTACAATATGCTATATAACTTTTCAATCAATGGTTTCAATATTCCTTCAGATCGACGAAGATGCTTACCAGGAAGATTTGGGCTATACGCGTGGTACCATTGGCAAAACAGGTACAGGTAGAATACGGCTACCACAGATCGACGAGAAAACTAAGGTTCGAATTAGCAAAACGCTACAGAAAAATCTTCAGAAACAACAACAGGTGTGGGGAGGAAGTACTACGGTGAAGAAACAAGTTTCCGGAACAGCATCCAGTGTGGCATTCACACCGCTGCAAGGATTAGAAATTGTTAACCCTCAGGCGGCGGAGAAACCTGCTAGTGAAAGTACGGCTAAATATTTCTCCAACACATCTGGTTTTCTTTCGGTGGGCAAGAGAACGACGTAGATGAATCAACTTTTCTTTCGATACTATTGCTACTATGTATTGATGTGTAATTGAATTAATGTTTCCTTTAATAAAAACAATATTTTAACTATTTTTTTTTGTCGGGCAGAAATTGAAAACAATTGCATAGCAATGGTAAATTATGTTCTATATAGGTATAATGATTCAAAATATTTTCAGTGGGATTGTTCGTATAAGCAGGGATCCGTGTTGGTTTGCTCTATCATGATGGTTTGATTGTAAGTTAAGTAAAATGGCCATCCGGATCATTGACGCTGAATTGTCGTTTTACTGAAAATGATAAAAAGTTTAGATAGGAAGATCAGCGATTATGTCTTATTCAATATCTCACCAGATTTCCGAGCAAGGTTCTCATTCAAAATCTCGATGAACGTTGGCGTCAGATTACCCTCTCCGTCGCACATGGTTACACGTTTGTCACCTTTCCGAATGCTTCCAGTTGGCTTTAGAATAGATGTCATCTGCTTCGGTGAGGGTATTGGTGAACTTCGTATGGACACTATAATTGTCGCAATAGTTTTTTTGTAAATATATTCGAAAAGAATATCGAACACTACAATGACGTGAAAAAGCTATGAAGTTCATGTGTTAGTTTTGGTCATACATGTATTAGTAAATCACAATGACGAATTCTATTCACACTAATTCCACATCATTAGTAGTAGATTATTAGGAAATATAAGAAAAAGCTTTCTCACCTACTTTTCAACCTTCAACGTCTGTACGATCCGGGTTGAACCTGTGCGGTGGAAAGTAATTCACAGCAATTCACAACTCAAATTACTTACCATACCATAGGGCCATATTATTTAAGTCGAGTCGAGCATCACTTCTGGTCAATGGTCTATTTCAGAATTATAGAAGTAATACCAAATTATACCAGTGACCAGAAGTGACGCACGACTCATATTACGTAATAGGGCCCATAGCAGCAGATAGTTGTTCGGTTAGGTGCCGATTCAAAATCAAACCTTTAGTAGCAAAAGTGTGCAGAAAATCATTAAATTTGTCAACTGTGATCTCAATAAAATAACACAAACATATCATGTTCGACTGCATCGTAAATATGTATAATTCTGGTTCATTAGCTATACACCACTATATTACGGTATTACTCTATGCGGCAGGTTTTAGAATCGAGGATCAAATCTGATTTCGTCACTATAATGGCATCTGGATGAAGGATGGAGGATGCTTAGGGCCTAGACTAAAAAAAGTACAAAAAAATCCTCTGGATTTCCGATTGTTTGTGCTGATGAAATTTTAATATTTTCTAAACTTCCGATATTATTTTAGGTACTTTTTCAATTGAGTTTTTCTATTTTTTTTTTCAATTGGCATAGTATATATTTGAAATAAGGGTCAAGGCGACACCATGCCATGCTTTGCTAAAAGGAAGTTCTGGAGTTATAGAAATCAATAGCTTTCATAACTTTCTTCGATAATTTTCTATTTGTCGCGCTGTCGATCGTCTATTGAAGTGAATAAATTTTTACTAACAAAATGAGAAGAACAAAACAGAATTACACCTATAGTTTTGTATCATCCACGTTTGATGGGTGGTGTGGCATGATAATAACACTGGAAAGAGACTCGTCGTGCAAGCTGTGAGACCTTAGCTGAGAACGTTGCTGAAATGAATCTTCGCTACTAGCGGCAGGCGGGTGATCGAGTAAATTGGGGTTAGTGAAGTTATAGCTAAGCCTCGGCGGTGAACCAATTTCCGAGCTCTCACGGATTGGTGCTAGGTACTGGGAAAACATCTCACCAGTCGGGCTGGGACGCTCGCTGCCCGCTACGTCTTCAAATGCATCCTCATTCAGGGTTTGCAAGGCACCGCATATCATTTGTTCTTCCAATGTCACCTGTAATGCAGTAGTTTGGAAGAGCTGTATTAGTATACGCGAACTACATATTTCGATGACGAAAAGTGACTATCCTTATTCTAAGCGTACCGGACACATTTTTAAGGAACTTGTTAAAAGAGTGCGATAAGTGAAACAACATTGAACTAGTCCACGAGAATGAGGATAATAGCTACCTCGTCATCAAATACTGCTGTATTGCGTGAGTAATTGTAAATTGTAATATTGATAGCATAGAACACACATAGAATCAAACGGAATACAAGAGTGGTTTTTTTTTGCATGAGACCGTATAATGCTGTAAGAAATCGTATGGAATTCATTTTTTTAAACATCTACACGATTTATAACTGCATTGATTATTTCTTGGCCCAATTATGCTTGTATAACAAAAAATCATAGACATTTTGAATTTACTTGAAAATCTACAGATTGGTATTAGTTTACTTGCAAATACCAAAATGAAAATAAAACGATACCATAATATACTACCAGTTTATCGGGCGAAATTAAGTAATGGCACTGAATTTAAGCAAATTACGATATCAGCTTAGATCTAGCATTTCTAGTATTGTTACTCCGAATTTCATGTTTGTGATACAGTGCTTTCTCGATCTTGGCAGCCCCTGTGCGTATCAGTCTTTTTTTCTTCAACTAATTCCACGTAAATTTGTTCATGCATACTGTGGTATAATAAAACCACCGACAAGGTGCAAGGGCTATGCAAATGAGTAGAATAAAGTGGGCTCAAACTCAAAGCTGACTCCATGCTATTCGCACAAAGGCAAATGTTAACATCATGGCGCTATGTATTATTATCAATGTTATCCTTAATCGGATACATGAGAAAATCTACGACAGCAGGCAAGATTCAGTGCCGGTAGACCTTGTTGAAGAACCTTATTGTCACGCTTGGTATCATCCTGGTGCAGATTAACGAGTTCTAATAGTCCCTGTATTTATCGTGAATTTGTGGGTCACCCTGAGACGCTAAGGAGTCCCGGATAAAATGGTCAACCTCAACGAATCGCAATAGGTGGCTCTCACGTACACCTGTAAAATTGAGCGTTGGCGGATGGAGGATAACCGCTAGTGTTCCTCATCGTATTCGTAGCTGCAATTGACCGTGTTCCGAACCGTGGGCTGATTTTATTGTACCCTTTCCAAGTTCCATGAAACTTCGCATAATAATTATTGTTCACTAGGAGCAATGAGCCAACGGGTGGAAACTAAAGATTTTAAATTGGCTCACTACTTGACTAGCCCATTGGTCCCAAGCAAATTGATTAACGTACCCCATTCTAGTACTACACTATGTTAATTTTGATTCGCTATGAAAGTTTGACAGATAAAATGAGTATGGTTCGTGGATTTTCCTATGTTTCGAGCGGTACATCGATTAACTTGGGACCGAAGAGAGTACACTGAAGTTTTTACACGGTTAGTGCAGCAGAGTCGCGATATACACGGTACGTTTTTAACGGTTTCTCGACAACGATACAACCTATCGACTTGATTTCAATCACATTATCCGTTTCAAGCTAATCGGTAATCGGTTCAAGTTAGTCGAATGGCATACTTTTAAAAAAATCACAATGTTTGGTGCAAATACAGAATTTTTTTAAACATGTCTATATGGACCATAGCATGCTATAATTACGAATGGAATCAGAATATCACATCGAAACTGCTGCAACCAGGTCAATCCATCGGTTGTGTAATATCACATTGTACGATGTACATCGATTTTGCGAACAAAATTACATCCATTGATGTTATATTGTATCTGCTTTTTGCTATTACATCATTATTTCATACATCAGCTTGAATTACGATCGATATTACATTTTTTTTTGCTGTGTACATAATACATGGTAGGTCACAACTTCAGGATACATAAGTAACATTCAAAGTGTTTTTATGTTACTTCATACGCGAAGTTAACGATTTTCAGAGTTGGTTGGAAATGCTAACATGAAGCTTTAGTGTGATAATTTATTATCTAGAGAATGATCTTTTTTAGAAGAGAGTAGGTGGATAGTTCCGTTAGAGTACGGCAGTATGAAAAATGAATAGAAGTTGAAAATGAGCGAAGGGCCATTAATGCGACAGTTTTTAAAAGCTAGTTTTATTTCATACTGCCGTACTCTAACGGAACTATCCACCTACTCTCTTCTAAAAAAGATCATTCTCTAGCTAATAAATTTATCACACTTAAAGCTTCATGTTAGCATTTCCAACCCAACTCTACATAAGTAAGTTATTGGCCCCGGACCGATAAAGCAAGCTTAAATGAGGTAACGTCGGAAGCTATTGAGTTACTACCAGCAACGGTGGATCAGCCGAGATTCGAAGCGCTACAGGCGAGAAAGAAGAACACGGAAAAACAATCAAGAGCTCAATTATTAGACCCTCGCTTCTGTAGAGCTATCAAAGACATTGAGCCTACCAAATAAACATTCTGGGAAAAATCCATTGACATGCCATCAATTTAACAGTGTCGAAACATTTAAATATATCTTATAAACTATTGCAAAAAGCAGATGGTTGTCTGTGACAGTTTATATTACTTAGCACATTGTTATTTCTTGTATAACGAAAACCGCTTTGCTTATAACGCAACACGTAGGATCTCCCCAGTTTTAACATGGCATAAGAGATTTAACCTGAAAGCACATTACATTCAGTGAATCTTTATCGATACCTAGTGCTGTATCTAAACTTCGAAATAATGCATTGAATCCAGAGTAACAATACATCGATGCGATCCTATGAAAACAAAACAGTTCATTACGACTTGTTGAACAAATAATTGCATCTTAGATAACAAAACTGACATTTAATTTAAAAATATTGGGTCATAATTTGGCTACCAGTCACTACATTGGATAACGCACAAATATACGAAAAATACGAGACGTTAGAAAATAGATTTCAATCAACAGTGTACGAAAAAATTTCAGTTTAATACGTTAGATAGGTATAAATGATAAGATATACTGTGTTGTACGAAATAATAGCACAAGGGTCGATTTTCATTCATACTGGCAAATATTGACATGTTGTAACTCTGTTTTTCTAAATTGGGAATAATGCTTCAATTATGTTGAATATTGCATGCGCGAAAATTTATTGAAACGCCTGTAGAAAAGTGAGACACCAGG